CTCACAGGGAAGAGCTTCTAATAGCTAATCTAAATCTACCCTTTCTCAGTTCAGAGCCATTTCCCAATGTCTTATCCCCACATGCCCTTGTCAAAAAGTCCTCTCCAGCTTTCTTGTTGGCCCCTTTAGGTGCAAATAAATGAGTAAAAGAAATGTTCAGACTGCTGAAAATACAGCAGTTGCTTCAGCCCTCCCCAAACCTGCCCCAAACCTCCTGCACAACCTCCCTTCTCTCACCTAACATGTTCTGGCATGGAAACAGCCAAATGTAAAGCAATGCAGGCAGGACTAGAGGCTCTGAAGAGCTAAGGGAGTGAAGACAATGCCCTTAAAGCAGTGCTTCTGTTAAAGATCTGCAGTGTTATCCCATGTCTTGGATGAATATCTGGGTAATTGGATGTATGAACAAGAGAAATGCAGCAACCTGTTTGAGTGGCAGGCCTTTGCAGCATGGTAGAGATTTAGCAGACGTGTTGGTTCCTTAGAGAAGCAATGGTCTACTAAGTCCTCTGGTGAAGAGGAAGGTGCTTGCTTTGGGTCAGAACAGTAGTGCAGGACTAGTCAGATTTGAATTTGCTTTTCATTGAGTGATTTAAGATATTCAGTAATTGTAGTTTCCAAGAAAATAATGAGGTAACTTGGTCTTGAAGTACTTAAAAAATGATTCTTGAATGGGATCAGACCAGAAGTGCCACCTGTGCCAGTGTCCTGTATCCCACGGCAGCCAAGAACAGGCCAACTCTGTTTAGTATTTCTAATACTTCCAGCCTTCAGATATTTTCAGAATATGGAGTTCTGAACCTGATGCAGCTTCTGTGTTGTACTCAGTGATATATAAATATATATATATATATATATATATATATAAAAATACAATATCTTTCCCTGGAAGCCTGGTTGATGCTCCTTTTGACTCCTTTGAACTTAGGTCTTTGCACTCTAGCCTAGGAAGGTTTCTAAGACAACGCACCAGGATCGAGTGATTGGTACCACGCAGATAGACAGCAGTAGTGAGCATTTTTGACCAGGCTTACAGATATTTAGGCTAGAAACCCTGTCATTCTGGGTGATATGGTAAAGATGTCCTGGTGGTTTTGATTATGATAGTTAACATTATGCACGCAGCTACATTTTAAGACTAAGTACGCGCATGTGTGCAGTCTTAATATCAAGGATAAATTTGTGTAATTATAGCTCATAATTTGTCTACGTTGCAGCTATTTTTGAAAGTTAAATAATTGCTATCAGAGGGAGTGGTAATTTATGGCAAGAGAAAACGCTCTCGCCTCATCTTATCTGGAGGGTGGTGGGTGTAATCCTGAAGCTGGTCCTGTTTGCTGCTTCCCTAAAATATGCTTTGCTGCTCTCTGTAGTCACGTTCTGGTGACTGAAGAGATTCATGGCAGTGTGGGTATTTTCTTAGTAAATGAAATTATCATAGTGCAGAGCATTTGTAAAAGATTTAAGTAAGTGGGAATATTTGGGTACATTTTCCAAATATTTCCAGATACTTCATTCTGAAAGAAAATAACGTTTCATAATATATTCTCAGTTGCTAATAATATGCTAGAGAATAGAGATGCTCCTTTTTAACTGATCTAGGTTGCCATAGTTAGGAGAAGACAGCAGCTCATTGAAGTAGTAAGCCATTTTTAAGGAGCAGTGCCTGTTTATTAACTCAACAATGTTGTATAAATGATGAGCTTGAAATGTGGGCATGGCCTTTGAGAAGCTGAATGTCATGAGAAAGAGCTGATAGAATTATAACTTCAAATACATTCCTGTTTGTGTTTAATGTATTATTAAATGTCATTTGTTTAAAAAAGGAATTCAATTCATAATGGATCTAGTATAAACAAATCATGTTTTTATATTACTTAGGCTCTGTTTGATTTTTGTTCCATGACAGCATTTCAGAATTAAGGTTCTATTATTTATTAGCTAGAAAGAAGGATGGGGAATACCTTGTATCATGTGTTTAGCTCTGAAATCCATGGAAGTTCAGAAAGTGGATTTAAAATACTCACTGACTCTCTGCAAGTATGAAGGTATGCTTCCAGGAAATGCTGGATGTTTTACTATGAAAGAAATACTTGGAAGATCTGTCAAGACCTCACCCATGGGAAGATTGCCCAAGAGCACCATGAATGTAGCATTGTTGAGGATTAAAGCTAATTTTAGGACAGCCTTCTTATGCTGTTGGTATGGTGTAGTCAGGGTGCAGAGACTGAGTAGTGCAGAGACTGAGTAGTACAGAGTTTCGGGAACTTGCAATTGCAAACTGTAGTAAACAGGATCTCAGTATTTTAAATTCTTCATTCCAGATCTGTTTCAAAGTTGTATAGCAACAACCTAACCAGGATAAGGGAGACTGAGGATGTGCCTAAGTGTTCTCTTCCCAGAAGTAAAGCCTTTGCCGTAAAGAGATGCTCCATTTTCCTTCCTGGGGAAAGAATGACTTCTCCAGCACCTGTACATGAATTTGGAAAAGCCCCCCTTGATGTATTTCTCAGCAGTGGAAAATACCCTTGCAGGAAAATGCTTTACCACATGTGTAGCTTCAGTCCTTCAAGTCCAATGGGATTCATTGTATTCCGAAGTTCAAGCTCATACTTAAAAGTTATTGAGCAGACACAAAATTTTGATGAGCAGTGTCAGTCTATCAGGTTAGACACTTGTCTTCTCCTTTAAAGTAAATTTTCCATCATCCTAAACGTACTAGAAATCTCTGTGTACTCCAGTAACGGTGATTGCTGAAGTCTGACTAGTTAAGGAATTAATTTGCTGTAAATATTCCCCTATGTAGGTAATCTGGTTTTATTACTTTTAACACCAAAATCAGCAGCATACTGGAAGGAATACATTACAAAGCAAGGAGAAGTCTAGAAAGTAATTATTATGGATATGGCAGTGAATTCTCTATCCACCACTTCAATGATGGGTTTTTTTTCCTCCTTTTTGTTACTTTCAGCTATGCTTTATAAAACATGTTTATAGACTATGTCAGCAATGTTCTTCCTCAGTTGCTGTTGCAAAGACTATTTTCGCAGTTTATCACAAAATGCCAGATTTGCTCAGCATGTAATTTAATCTTATGCTTGGAAGCATCCCCATTACTTGGTTATCATGAAATTATTCTTTAATAAAAATGTATGCTTTGTGATCTATATTTTATTAATTTGGTGAGTCGGTTTATCGATTGTTGCAGATGCCATGAATGTATAATTTGTCACAGTTATCAGTTGCCTGTCAGCACTTCATAGCACCACAGAGTTCTTGGCTCTTGTGGGCACCTTAGAAATAAGCCTTTCTTGATCTGGGAGAGAAAAGCTTTCTTCTGTAAATTATCATCAAGACTTGGGTTGATATTGGGTTTATCACTTCACGTCATGTATTATCCTGTATTAGCCAAACGGTGTGACCGAATTAATAACGTGGCCTGTTCAGGCAAGAGTGTTCAGCAAATACAATTTAGTGATTCTAAATGCTGGGGATGAGGTCAGGAGCACAGCATTACAAATGGGAGGCATGGGTTTTCTCACTGTTTTAGTTCACTCTAAAGAGTAGGAATTATTGGGGTCATGAAACTGAAAAAAACAAAATATCCAAGTTTTTTTTTTATCCCCTCTTTTACAGTGTATGTTTTTCTGCTGTAATATATGGCAGTCATGGGTTTTGTTGATTGAAAAGCTTATTTTTGGGGCAGTGGAATCATAGGATCACAGACTGGTTTGTGTTGGAAGGAACCTTAAAGCTCATCCAGTTCTAAACCCCTGCCACAGGCAGGGACACCTTCCACTAGAGCAGCTTGCTCCAAGCCCCCTCCAACCTGGCCTTGAACACTGCCAGGGATGGGGCAGCCACAGCTTCTCTGGGCACCCTGTGCCAGTGCCTCAGCACCCTCCCAGGGAAGAGCTTCTGCCTAAGAGCTCATCTCAGTCTCCCCTCTGGCAGGTTAAAGCCATTCCCCTTGTCCTTTGTCTTCCTGCTCCCATATGAAGTCCCTTTCCAGATTTACTGTCACCCCCTTTAGGTACTGGAAGACTGGTATATGGTCTCCCCAATGTCTTATCCAGGCTGAATAATTAATGAATCTCAGTTTTTTAAAAATAAAAATTATTATTTTTTTTTTAAATAAGACTACACATGCAATAATTTATATGTATGTTTAGTAAAGCAGATACTAATTTCCAGAATGGTTGTACTTAAGAAGCTTTACCTTGCTAAGAGTTTTGCAGTGCTCATGCACCTTTGCGTGCTGCAGTGGTATGGCTCAAACACCTGCTGGTTTCGGTTTGGTATTGTTAAAGGCTGGGTTCTGCAGCCTGACAGCTTGTTCTGGTCACACACTTTGTGTATGGTGTTATTAAATCCCAGTGGCTGAACAAACACTCTTGGAGCCTCAGGTTTCACCTGGTCGGAGGAGTTTTCAACTCATATTTTCCTGGGCTTGGCAGTGGTCAGCGTGAGGTTATTCTTTGACACTTGACAGAACAAGTTAAGGAGCACTTCAGGTGCTGCTGGAGTTTTTGGTGTGTATAATGTACATTGGGGGTACTTGAAATGTATCAGGGAAAAGGCTCTCCACAAAACAGAAGGGGGGGGGGGGAAGGGGATAAAAAAGGAGAAAAAAATAAGGAAAAAATTGAGTGAAACAGTAAAAGGGAAAAAAAGGTGGAAAAGGTGAACCCGGGGTTTGCGGAGGCGAAGCCCGGCCCCATCCCTTCGCCGCTCCCGCAGCACGTTCCCCACCTCCGCGCCGCCCCGCCGGCGGCCGGGTAATGAGCCGCGCTGTGGTTGGCGGAGGGCTGGCGGCGGGCAGCCGCTATTGGCTGCGGGCAGGCGGCTCCCTTCCGCGATTGGCTGCGGGCGGGCTCCTCTCCGCCCCGATTGGCCGCGCCCGCCTGCCCCGTATTTTCAGCGGCGGCGGCGGCGGCGGCGGTGGCTGGCGGGTTCCGGTGGGCGCCGGCGCGGGGATGCAAGGTGGGTGCAGCGGCGGCCGTGCCCCGTCCTGCGGCCGCGTCTCTTGGTTTATCGCTTGGGTTTAGTGGTTATTTAACGGTGTACGTGGTTTTATCGCCCCTCTCTCTCCGGCTGCGCCCCCGCGGTGCGGCCGGTGCCGGGGAACGCCACGTCCTGCGGGCAGCGCAGCCCCGGAGCCTTGGTGCCGGAGGTGTTTGTGTGCATGTGTCCCTGCGCTGCTGCGCCAGACGCGCCGTTCCCTAGGAGTTTGCCCCGGTAGCGCTGCCGGGACGGGCTTAAAATGCGGGGTGCGGTGAGGATGGAGTCGGCGGTTTTATCGGTAACCGCGCCGGCAGCACCGGTTCGGAGAACTTCGCGAAGGCAGAGGCCGCGCTGCGGGAGCCTCGGGTCTGAAAATCGGGCGTGAATAGCGGAAAGTATGTGGGAATCGGCTGGGGAGGTCGTTGCATCCCTGCTGGAAACGCTGGGTTCTCCCCGTGAGTTATTCCTGGGGCTCTGCTAAATATTAAGTTTCTGTTTCCCCTTGTAAGTAATAGGAGATTGATGCCGTTGTGGTTGCTCTCTGAACACGTTCGGTTTGGTTTCAACTTAAAATCATAAATGTGAAGTTAAGCATGCTTCATTTTTATCCTGCTTTGGAATTCCTTGGCACAGTTCAGGGGCAAATTTGGGTCCACATTATTTTGTAACATATCTAATTTCATCCTTTCTCTGTCAGTCAACTGTATTATTTCTTCTGTGTGTTTCACCTCATACCAAAACCCCATTCCCCTTCCTAAGTTCTCAGTTTCTAGTAGATTTCATGGCAAAAGTTATTTCGGATTGAGGTTCGTTTTAAGACAGAAAAATCTGATTTCACAACTTTCTCTGTGGCATTTTCTCAGAGGAACACTGCAGTTACGAGTGGGTTCCACTCTTCTTGTGCCATCTAGAAAATTCAATACACTGTATAGCATCCCCAGCTGGATGGAGGTAGTGCTTGGAACTGTTGTGTTTCAAACTAGCATGTTATCACCATATCACAATAATTTCTGTGATAGAAGTGTCATTTTAGATACAAATATGTGATTTGAGCAGGTTAAAAATCAGTGCCTATTGAATGTTCCTATGGAATAAAATTGTCACTGAACCTTTAAGGTACTGTATTAGAAATCTCGGGGGAAGTCAGTGGTGCTGTTAGTGCGATGCTGTTAACCCCTTGCTGTGTCTTTCAGAGAAGGGATGCCTGTGGGTCCAGGTCTGTTGCTAGGCCTAAAAACTGGGTATTTTTGTTGCTACCCCGAAGCCCTAGGAAGCAGTAGAGGTTTGTCTGGGGAATGATGGAAGAATTTCAGTCTAGCTTTACCTACTATGAGCAGCCCTGGTTCGGGAAGCAGAGGATCTCTGCTGCTGTGGGTTTATATGTCCTCATCTCTCACCCATGGGGGCAAAAGCAGCCTGAGTGCCCACAGGGACCATGCCAGCGTGATCCCTGTTGTGAAACCCAAGGTGAATGGGAATGGTACCTGTTGCACCACCAGTGATTTGTCAGCTCCTAGGAGAAACCTGCAGGTGTATGATCATCTACCCAAATCACTTAGATCCTCTAAAATTATAGATGTCTAGGGAGTTTAAATTGAATTTAACAATGTATTACATTCAAATGGTCGTGGAGGCTTGTGTATATGAGAAATACAGACAACTAGACATAAAGGTGTTTTTTTATTATAAAATGAATATTATTTATACAAGCTCTATGTGCTTTTAAAATGAAGCCAGGTCCCGTTCAGTAATTACTGTTTAAAACCATCCATGTGTTCCTTTTATTGTAATTTCCATGTTGCATATAAACTTCTTCAGAGTATCTTGAGAAAGCAGGCAAAATAATGTCTGTGCTTAGTTGATATCGACCGAGAGCTCTTTAGCCTAAATAGCAAACTGATTTCTAAGAGCGTGTACACAAGCTGCAGCCAGGCTGGCAGGCGTTGCCTGCTTGTGGTGGTAACAGAAGTATGAAAGATGACGTGAGTACTGCAGGGCTGGATTACCCCTCCACGCCTCCTGCTTGTGTCTCACCCAGGCAGGTGAGAGCGAGCAGATGGAATCTTTTCTTTCCCTTTGGCACAGCACCGGCTCGCTTCTCTGGTACCGCCGGACCCAGTGGTTCCATGGAGCTGGAGAAAAAAACCCTTGGTGTTTCATACTCTTGCACTTAAATTGGTAAATGTTATTAGTAAGTGCCCATAGTTACCTAAAGGAGATGTATGTTGTAAAAGACAGTATTTCCATATATAAAGAAATAACAGCCTTAATAAGTATTTTTCTAAATAACCAAGCATTAAAAAATAAATATAGTAAAATCAGGCTAGAAAAAGTAAAACTCAGGATTTTTTGTGATTAGTTTCTTTTCCTAAGTGTGTGAGCTAGATGACAATTTAGACTCCAGTATACGCAAGCAGAGTCATGTGGATACAGTGAATCTGCGCACAGGTTACTGAAGGATCAGCATCAGTAAATGCATAAATCGTAGATCTGTTAGAAAGCAGTCTCTTACTCACCTATGTGTCTAACTCAAAGGATCAGAGTTTTAGCAGGTATCATTTTGTTGTTTTCTTGATGATTTTTGTTCTAGTCCATTATCATGAATTTGTTGGATGGAGAAAAAATGTTTCCTTAGTAAAGTGTGAGGGTTTATTGACTCTTAAGGCTGTAGTTTCTGTCTGATGGCAGTATGACTTGCAGTAGCACTTTTCCCTGATAGCAGTAATGTTTATTTTGAAAGTATCATTTTCATCTTTAAACACATGCAGCATTAGATTGGAAAAGTTCTAATGACAATTGCATGGCGTGTTTGTTTTCAGATGGTTACGTTGAATGATGGCAGAGAAATTAATTTGTACTTTTCTAAAGATCTGCGATTCCTATATCTGTTATTTAATAGAGCTGTAATGTTATCAGTGAGCGCTGCCAGTTCAGTATAAAGTGCAATGTGTAACGTTTTCTGGTGGTAGAGTTGCTCTAAGTGGAGAAATAATTTAAGCGGTACAAGGGTTTTTATAGCCCTCTTGTCACAATTAACTGTGTTTATGAAATATGAATTTACACAACATCTGCCTTTTGGGGCTGGCATTCCCATTGGAGCCTGCTCGCTTCGCAAACCAGCACTGTTGTGTCTAAAGCAGCATGGCAAGGCAGGACGGACTGAGCCTGTGTGGTATTTGGACAACCAGGACAGAGAAGTTACTTACTTGATGTACATTTGGGGAAGCTTGTGCAGGAAATGCAGATGGTTTTAAGTCTTAAAACCTTCTTTCGGTTTCATTCTAGGAGGCAGACTTACTTAGGCGCTGCAAGATCCTTTGGCCTGTAACTGGTTCATCCCCTTTTCACTCCCTGTGGTTCCTGCTTGTCCCCCTAATTTCTGAGCTAGGGCATAAGCAAAAAGGGTAGCACATGTGGCATGCCAGTGGGGTGGGATTTGGGGTCTGGCACACACCACTGCAGCTTGTCATCAGTGATGGGCTGTCTCCTGGAGACCCCTCCTCCTCTATGGGCCTATAAATGGTCAACGCCTTGATGGAGACAGAAGGGAAAAACTGGCGTTTTATATGGTTACACCTACCCAATTTGTCTCGTCATGGTCCACTGTGTCTGTTACTGCTTTATTTTCCTCCAGCACTTGGTGTTCTGCCTCACACCTCTCCTGGCAAAGCTCAAGCATCATCATTAATGTTCAACTGGTAAAATTTTTGTAAGCATCACAGCAAAGGCGAGCTTACAGGAGGACAAAGTAGCTTGAAAGATACCAGTGTTCCTCCTCAGTAAGGGGTAGCTTGTGGGAAAGATCTGGAGGTGCTTTAGGAAAGATGCAGTTTCCCGTCATGGGCTACCTTGGAGCACAGGTAGTGTTTTGTCCCAGTGAAGAATGGGCACAATGGTAAGAGGCAGTGAAAAACCTTAAAAACAATTGTGTACCACCTCTCCCACTTTTCATATATCACTGCTCTTGACTAGTAAACATTTCAGGTCTAGCACTGTCCCTCAGAGCAGAAGCTGTGTAATGTGTAAGGTTTCAACCTAGCTGGCATGTCAGGATATGCAATATTCAGTACATGGAAATTGCTCTGAGACGTTCACAGTAAGTGCTGTTGGCACAACATCCTGCAGATTTTGAGGCACGATACGAGTACTCAGACTAGAGGTTGTACGACTTGGGAAGCCTGGTGTGACGGTTCACTTGGGCTGCTATTTTTGCCATCATTATTCATGGCAAAATAATTGAGGCTGTTCATGCAAGCAAGCTGTGTTGTCGTGAAGAATAGCAGCAGACTGTGCCGTGTGTTACCTTCACATCTGAATTTTAGAAGATGAAGTAAAAATAACCTCAAGTGTTATACCGAGGGGAAACCATGCAGCAAAACCTCCGTGTTCTCGCACAGATATTTAGTCCAGCCTCTGCTGCTGCCTCCTGAGGCTTTACTGCTAATTGTTCTCTTACTGGTTTTTGCAAATTGTTATGGTTGCTAAGTCAGAGTGAAAAATTATGTGCAACAGGTAGTTGTTATAGTGGAGATCAATTGTATTATCTCGGTGCTAGTTTAATCTGATGAAGGAAGGAGTCCAAACTAGGTAATTATCTCTTTGGGTTATCCTATAAAATAGGAATAACCATCATCATAAAAGGTGCTTCAAGACTTACTAAATATTTCTAAAGCACTTAAGAATCATGATTTAAAAAATAATTGCCTAGTAAATTGTCTACTTAATAAAATGGAAAAAATAAAAGATCTAGGGTATATTAGACTTCATAATCGCTTAAATAGATGCACGTAGTTTATTTACCTGCTCAGTGACAACTAACAACCATTGAACACAAATAGTTCTGGAGGAGAACTGTATTTGCAAACCGCAGTTATTTAAATGAAGGTTTCCAGTTCACCAGTTTAAGTTACTTTTACGTGTATGATTTAGGCTTTGATTTAAATCATACTTTGTACTGTTAATGTTCAAAATATATCATCAACACTGAAGCTGTGAACACAAAAGACGTTCTTGGCAAGACTTGCAGGATGTAATGTCAGTATATTTCTCTGGAATACTAAAAATTTAGAAAACAAAACCTTCTTCTCAGCACTTGCAGTGTTTCATATCTGAGGCAAGAAAACAAAACAAGCTGCAAAAGACTGGATTTCAGTCAGAGGAATGGGTGGCTCTTACAGGGCCTTAATACAGGAAGGAGAGGGCAGGGTAGAGGTACTGCAAGCACGTGGCTTTGGGATCATGTTGGAGGAATACTTACAAAGATTTTTCTTGAATAAATAGCATCTTTTCATCAAGTAGGAAAGGACTGGTATTATTTGCCATTGCTTTTGTTGATTTGGAGTAATACCAAGAAAGAAACTTGTTCTGCGTTACCAGCAGGAACAGTGCGGAGTCG